ACGTGGCAAGATCGCGTCACTCCGAAAGGAGCCACGTTGGCGATCCGCGTGGGTGCGATCCGACGGCCCAGATCAATCGCGCGATCGGACGGCCCAGATTCAAATACACGGACGGCCCAGATTCAATCAAAAACGAACGGCCCAGATTAAAACGAAATGAACGGCTGTGATCAAAAGGCAAGGGGTTATAAATAGAACCCCCACACCAGACCACAAACCCTAGCCGCCAGCCGCTCGCCGGAGAAGACGAACCAGAGGCCGACCGCCGCCACCCGCCGCCACTCGCCGCCGCACCGGGGAAATTTCCGACCGCCGATCGAGGTAAATTTCATACCCCCGACTCGTTTTTCCCCGTTGATTCCTCCTATGGCCAAATCGAGGCCGAAATCCCGGCCAAACGGCCGGAATACGCGGCCGAAGCCCAGCGGCGCCGTCGCGCCCCCTCTCGGTTTTTGCCTCCGACGAGGCCCTTCCCGGCCTCCGTTCGATGCAATTTTTATATCACCGTGATCACCATTCTTTTCTCTACAGGTTGATCAGAGCCGAATCACCAAAACACGAACTTCACCGGAGAGCCGCCGCACCCGAGAGCACCACCGCCGGTAAGCTTCGGTTTTCCGTAAATTTTCGGCCCCCCGAGGGCCGTAGGGTTGTTTTATCGCAGGAACCAATGCGAGTGTGGCCGAATTCGGCCAGAAACGGCTGAAAACGGCCAACCCGAGGCAAACCGCCGCCGCAAGCGGCGGCGCCGTCGTCGGAGCACGGCAGAGCCACCGTGCCGGAGTTGCGATTTGGGCCGAAAGGGGCCCTGGGCCTAATTTGGGATTTTTTTGGAACACGTGCAGGTACCAGTAGTGCGTTTCAGTTCCCCGAGAAAAATTCAGGGAAAATTAAGGACAGCCTGTAGGCGCACTGTGAAGCCGTGTTCGGACCCCGAAACGAGTAAGGACCCCTCACCCTATTTCCTATCACGGTTTTAAAGTTCAATGAATGATAAAACGGTATTTCATGAATCAACGAATGTGTGAAATTGCTTAAAGTCGCTAATGGAGCCCGAGTCTAGTGTGTTTGTCGGTTAACTGTTATTTGGCATGTTTACAGTTTTAAATGCAGTATGAGATTTGATGTTTTCATTTTATAGTTTCGTGTGCATATTCTACTGTTTTATTGATTATGGATTGAATGACCGGGATATTGATGCTGTATGTTGTCTGTTTGGCATAAATTATCGTTTTGCTTGTTTGTATGTGATTGATAATGCTGACTGAGGGAAAAGGAGAATGAAAGATTATGTAAATAGAAATTGTATAATGTGGTCAGCCTGACTAGATATTCTGGGAGATGGTGGACGGACCGGGTCCATAGGGAACCCTACCAGGATTGTGGTCTCCCATACCAGACGGGGTATGGAGATCTTATGTGTTTTGGCGCCCATACCGGACGGGGTATGGGGACGGCCCGTTTCACCCTCATACCGGACGGGGTAATGAGGTCTATGGTTTGGCGCTCATACCGGACGGGGTATGGGGACGGCCCTGGAATATGATTTCAAGTGTTAAGGGTTAACGGGTAGCGGGACCCCTATGGATCCCCATGGATACTAGTGGGCTGGTAAATGAGGAAAATATGTTGTGTAACGATTAAATTACGAAAAGCTTGATAGGTATTATGTTATACAGTTCATATATATGTTTTCATGATGATGATGATGTTATTACTTTCGTATATTGTTTTATGAATTTCACCGAGGTAAGTGAATGGTAAAGGTTTTATTATTAATAAAAGGATTTGTTGTAAATTATGCTCCATTGGTCTTTTTGTGTTTTCTACCCACTTTTACCTCCGTGACGGTGAGATATCGTGATGTCCTTACTGGGCTAGTGTAGCTCATTCCTTATTTAATCATTTCAGATCAAGAGGACATCGTTCCCGAGCCGGTTCCGCAGGAGGACGACGAAGGGGACACCTAAGGACTCCATAGTCACATTCGTAGTTTTTACTTTCAAGTTTCCCCTTTAGGTAGTTTAATCTTTTATATTTTGTGAGCACGTTTTTGGTTTTAGTGTAAGAGATGTTAATCAAATTTTGTCTTCGCTTCCGCATTTGATATTTATAATATAATTTCCATTTTAAATTTCCGGGGCTGCTACAGTTGGTATCAGAGCCAGGTTTCCTCGGACCCATCCCTTACACAATAGTGCTTTAGAGAAATACTCACCGATATATCGTTACTCAATCATTCCTTGTAAACGTAGGTATACGAGAATGAGGAGAGGAAGGCCCCCACTAAACCGAGCGGCCCCAGATAATTCACTTCGGGAGGATTTAGATAGACTATTCGAGATGGTGGAGGCTCTCGCAGCTGCCCAGCGAAGGCAAGAGGAGAGAAGGGAGTTACCGGGACCTCCTCCGCTAGCGCAGGTTGAGCCCCCGCTACAGCAGGCTGATCCCGAGCCACCCCGGCAGGAACCTGTTCCTCCACGGTACCACCCGGCACCACAGCCGCGGTACGACCCGGTACCACAGCCACAGTACCAACAGGTGCCGCCACGGCACATTCCAGTGCCCCCACCACATCAGCAGGCGCCACTGCAGGGTCCCCCAGTTCACCCTCAGCCGGTCCCAGTCCCTCTACCTCGGGGCCCCGCTCCCTCCTTGATCGACCCCGGCTTCATAGAGAGGTACAGAAGACTGAACCCTTCTACTTTTTCAGGGGGATCCTCTTTCGAAGAGGCCCAATACTGGCTGGCAGAGACTGAGAGAGCTTTCGAGACCTGGCAATGCGAGGGAGTGCCCTAGGAACCAGAATCAAGGGAGGCCTCCAATCCAGGGCAGAGTTTACAACCTTACCCAGAAGGATGCCGACGCAGACCCGGACGTGGTACATGGTAAACCCAAGAAAGAAGTTTGTATCCAAGAGATTCCAGTAGTCCGAGACTTTCCAGACGTATTTCCGGATGAATTGTCCGGTCTACCAGGGGACAAAGAGGTCGAGTTCACCATAGACTTACAGCCAGGAACCCAGCCCATCTCGGTAGCTCCTTACCGAATGAGCCGTATCGAGATGGAAGAGCTAAGGAAACAAATCACTGAGCTACAAAACAGTAGCTTCATTAGACACAACATTTCCCCATGGGGTGCCGGGGTTACTTTTGCAAAGAAAGGGGATGGAACGTTGAGACTGTGTATTGATTATAGAAGGATAAACAAGGTAACAATTAAGAACAAACACCCTCTTCCCCGGATTGATGACCTTTTCGATCAGTTGCAGGGTGCACAGGTCTTT